GTCAGAAGTTAGATCTGAAGAACAACATTAAAAATACATAGGCATCAGCAGTTCCCTGATCTGCAACAGCTCTTTCTGGGGTCTCCCCTGGAACTCATGATGGAAATTATGGTTTTGATTTGCAACGTGCCCATCACGAGAAACTGCTTTTAAAAGAAGTTGTCCTGCGGAATGTGAGACCTGCTCACTGAGAGGCAGCTTCACTGGAGCTTGTACAGGCTGAGCACAGAGAGCTGATGCCTGCCTGTCTTTCCTCCAAGAAATGAGTGAAGAAAGGTGAGAGTGAATTCTGGGCTCCCACTGGCCGCTCTCCTACTTTCAGATGTTATTAGGGAACTGTGAAGCTAATTACGTGTACAATAACTGCAGTAACTGCTTTTCATGCAGAATCACAGAGCAGAAAATAATGAAAACACAAATGGAAAAGCCTCTCTGCTTTTCCAACTCTGAGCAGCGTGGAGAAAGCACTGGCTATTCCAGGAGGCTGATGCAAGCACCGAGCAACCCTAAGAGGTGCTCGACAGCCTCACCCAACAGCAGACCAAATCCAGCATTCCTCAGGCTCTTCCCTTTCCAAAAGCACCCTCAGGACACACCAGAGGGCACCTGGCAGACACAGGCACTCCTCAGAGCCACACCTTGACCTGCCTGCAGGAACCCAGCTCCTGCCAAAACTGACAGCAGATGGGTCCTGGGTATTTTCTGGGCTCTAAACCCAGGAAAAGTGGGAAGCCTACACCACCTACAGCATTCTCCACTATCCCAGGGACATTGTGGATGTTGGGGTTTTTAGGTCTACACAGTCACTGTTTTCTAAACAGCATTCACAGCCTTCCTAAGTTTTAATATTGGATGTGGTGAGGGCTAAAAAAATCTCAGTGGAGAGAACAAAAATGCTTTTGACCATGAAGAACATCCTATCTCTCAAAAACTTACAAAAGATTATCTCCATAGTGAATTCCCCTAAAAAAAAAAAAAAAAAAAAAAAGGTATTCCAATAAAGCTTTTATGTATCTGTTTTTAACCAAAAATCATGCTAGTAAAAAATCCTGGAATAGAAGCAATTACATTTTTATGCATTTGCATGAGCTTGGCTACCTTTGCTCAGAGCAGAACATGCTGGCAGAGTTTATTCATCTCCCCATATGAAAATAAAGCGTGCTGCCACACACTTGTCTCCAAACGTGGCTGCCCACACAAGAGACGTTCCCCTGCTCCATCAGCACAGGCACTGCTCAGGGTGGGCAAAGAAACATGAATTACTGCACACGAAGGGATGCACAGAAAACACAAAAAAGTGGCTCTGCCTCTCATCTGCTGGGGTTGTCTGCTGTGAGTTGTTTTGTTTAGGTGTGTTTGAGAGGTGCTGGAGCTGTAGTGGGGCCACACTGCAGAAATAAAGCATCTGACACCCTGATGTCATCCCACCCACTCCCAGACACCACAGCTTCACAGCCTGCCAATGAAACCTGAACCTCTCTTTTTTAAAAAAGTAATTTTTTATCAATTATAATCTTAAAAAACACTACAAAAAAAATCAAAAATTGCATAAAGCCAATAGCAAGAGTATCATATTGCACACCACTTTCAGCATCCTACTTCTCCTTTCCCTCCTTCCCCAGGAGGCCACTGGTCTTCATCACTCCCAAACACTGAGGTCACATCAGGAATCAGATCCCCTGGGACACTGCTGAACTGCTTCAGTGCAGCCCCACATGTCCCTGCTCCCCACCCCTCAGGACCAATCTTCTCACCACGTTAAGTTACCATGAATAATTAACAAAGAGGGAAAGATCCCCTTGCCACAATCGTCCTCTGCCATACTGCAGACATGGAGATCTTTCCCTTAGGCTAAAGAAGAAAATACTTAACGAAGCTATCTTAAACATTACCATGCATCAGTGATCAAGACTAAGTTTATTATCCTGCAAACAAAAACAAAGACAAAAATTATAACAGATAACACCCCAGTAGCTTTCATTAAGAGATGCAGTGATGGCATTTCTGAGGAAGGCACTGGCTCCACAAATCACCTCAGCTACCACCCCATCATCAGGCCAGTGTTGGCAGTGATGTGCAGCGTGTGGTATTTGTGGCACTACTGGGGAAAACTATTTTAAGTCTAATTAACATGAAATTTTTAGAATACAGATGCTTTTCATTTATACATAAAACAAAATGCCGTGACATTTCTCCCATCCATTTATCATAAACAAGTTAATTACTGTGTAACAAATAGCTCCTGCTAGAATCTGTATGTTTGGAGCATGTTAGAGAGCTGACTCAGGCAAATAGGATGAACCACAAAGTAGTAGCTAATAGCTTACGGCATACTTACAATAAAACAATGACTGTAAAAGCTCTTGTTGTCAAATTAAGGCTAAGCTATTTCCATTGGAATAAACCAATTATAAGCAGTGATTATCTGTTTAACTTGATTCAAACCTAGAACACTATAAACACTTTCATTTTGATGCATTCATAACAGTGCATACATTTGAGAGCTGGATAGTGCAAAGCTTAAAAGGGAAATGCTATGTTTGTTTATTGCCACACACTCATCCTGAACCACAAACACCCAAATCTCTCCACGGTGTGGAAGAATTTCACCACCATGCTGAGGGCTGCACGCTCCCTGATTTCTGATGGACAAACCTTCAGGGATGAACTGTCCCAGGACCGGTCACCTTTCCTTCCTATGGACAAGGTGAGAATTATCCATAAAAATCTCATGTTCACTCCGTGAAATCCCCCAAGGGCCATCCAAGCTACAGACACGCTTTTTCCAACCCCCAGATTCCAGGAAAGCACTGACAGGTGAATTTCTGCCTACTTTTCTCTTTTTTTTTTTTTTTAATTCAGGCAAACAGTCCCATTTGGCCTGCAGATGAATTACTGAATGCTGATGAATAAGATGGTGGTAGCTGCTGGCAGCAGAGCTTTGCGTGGTAAGATGGTGTGAAATAGTACATATGTCAATCTATCAAACATGATAATGTAAGCAATCTGAACCCATTTTTGGTCTGAACTATTGTACAATACTTCACCCAGATGGAAGAAAGAGATAAACATTTTATGCTTCAGACACATCAAGTGCTACGAAGTAAAATTAAACCTAAACTGGAAAACTACCAATTTTACATGCTAGAGTATATATAAAGAACAACACAAGAATGAAGAAGAATTTTCTTGCCCATTATTGTATAAAATAATTAGATATATTTGCTTCCTATGATAAACAACAGCATGTATTTGACTGTAGATTAAAAGGTGCAAAGATGATGGTTTACTTATTAGCAGACACAGCACTTGCACTTTTTTTCTTCATTCTTTTGTTGAGAAAATGCTTTTAAATCATGGAACCTGTAACAATGTTATCAGGACATGAATCTTACAAGTGGGGCATGCACACATAATGTCCCTGGGGTAAGTCCAGCCCTAAATCAGAGGCAGGGTTGCCATGACTAATGCAAAACTACAACTGGTCCCTAAAGGATAAAATCAAATAGATATATATTTTCATTCAAATCAACTTGACAGCCTGTGTAAATATAATTTCATATTTAGAAGTTATCAGAAATGAAATGACAGCCACTGTGCTGCTTTGAAAGTCACAGCCATCTAACGCCTCTGAGCAGACTCTTCTGCTCCATCCCTGTTGTCCATCTCCATAAAACCAGCATAATTTATCAAGCACTAAACTGCAAAAAACCACTCTTCTGAGCAAATATATTTATGACATGGCTTTCTACAGTACTCGGAGAACATTTTTTATCAAATAATTTGCAAAGCTAAAAGAGCATGAAATCTACCCAGCTTCCAGACTGACCTGTCTTAAAGCCGCCTTCACGTTTGGGAAAAATTGCTACAAAGTGTGGAAACTACTGGTATTTGGTCTCTTTAGGGCTGCATAATCTTGAGCTTGTCCATCTCAATTCCCTCTTTGGTTACCCTTCAAACTAAAAATAAACTCCCCAAGGTCTACTAATTAATGCCAGGCCAGTCAAGAGAATTCCTGAACAGCAACACTAAGACAACTGGGCACAGGAACAAAAGTGATTGCCAGCTCATGCAGAGCAAAAATGTCCAGTCCTGCATTCTGCTGAAGCCAGAGAGAACACTGACAACTCTCCCTCTCTTCTGAGGAAAATCAAAGTAACAGAGCAGGTGTTTGGTCTGGAGGAAGACAGAAATCCCAGCTTTCTGGCACAGAGACATGCATGTGAGCAAAATGTACTCAGGAAAACACTGCAAAATACAGTTATACAGCACCGAGTAGAGTACCAAGTCATGACATGCTCCCCAACTTCCTGGGCTGCTGGGGTGGGGGGTAGTGGAATTCTGATCTTCAAAAATTCTCTTGGAATAAATTTTTCTATGTCATGCAAATATAAAGTTTAATTATTTTTAACTTGAAAAAGAGACAGAGCAACACAGAGGATAATCTGCTGTTATTTGGATTATGAAGACATCTTAGAGTTTACAAGCACAAAAGTGGTTATAATCCCGCAATTACTATAAAGCTAATTGGTAGTTTCTTTTTGCCTGTGTTTTCATGTTGTCAGTGGGGCAGTAATGAAAATGAATGCCACATTTGTGAACAGAATGTCTGTAGGCTTGTTTACCACATTTCCAACAACAACGTCTGCTTTATCATCCATTTCAAAGCAGAGATAATTTAGGGATCTTTGAATTTCATACATAAAAATACTTTCTAAAATACAAGATGCAGAGTTCCTTCAGACAGGGTGGGAGTGGGAGACTCAAGAGTGAAGTGATGACCTCGCATGGTGTAACAAACAATCCACCTGAAGCAGATAGCACACAGACTTGGAATGATTCATCTGTATTCAAAACCGTGCTCAGGTAAACCACTTAGTGTTTCATCCTCCTACAAATATAATTCTGCAGACAATTTCACCATCAAACCCAGCATCTTTAAGCCTCCTTTCACCTCCTGAAAATACAGTTATTGCATTTAAGCTTTTTATTCCACTTACCTTTGAGTAACTTCTGCCCTTCCATGATATTCTGGGAGATGAAAGCTGTGTAGTCTTGTTCTGAGAAGCCAGGCTTGCATGTGGGTCTAACTGTAAGATCCCCATTGTGTGCCTGCAAAAACAAAACAAGGAAAATGCACACCATGACTTTTGTCATTTGGGAAAATGTTCTGCACCCAGTGATGAAGCGTTTAGGCATGAGCAAACCTGAACAGTAAAGCAGTGTGCAAGTAGAAGTTGCTTGTGTTAGAGTGCCTATCTGTTGGAGTGGATCCATACTGTAGCTGCAAAAAATAAAATGGGCCAGCAATAGTTGCCTGACTACAAGAGAGCATTGTTTGTAGGAAGGCTGGAATACTGGGCACTGTCAGAAGAGGGGAGGAAACAAAGAGCAGCAATTCATCAAGGCGCTGTGCTTGCACTGGAGACATGCAAAGGCCCGATGCTGTAACATCCAAACCACCGAGGTTTGCTACAGAGAAACTGGGCAGACCCCAGCATGGAAGGGGGAGAAGCACAGGAGCCTGAGACCAGGTGAGGACACCCTTCCTTCCCCATTCACCCGCTCAGCAGCATCCCAGGTTCTGCCTGCTGCTGCCTCTGGGACCCTCCAGGCTCTGCTCTTTCCCCCGGCAGTGGGAAGGAATGGAGGGATTCCCAATTAAAAACGCGACCATGCACAGGATCGTGCACAACGTGCCAGCACCCAGAGGGAAGCAGCCAACGAAACACTCAGCTGCAACTTTGGACTGAGCAGAGGATCCGGCCCCTGCCAGAGGAACGGGGCAGCGCAGTCACAGCAGCCCAGACGCTCTGGGATTCCCCGGCAGGGAAGGTCCCAGACCCCAGCTCCAAAGGAACTCGCTGACAGCACACAAGCCCGTGATTTATGCACGGAGAGTGCCAGGTGATTTACGCACTAACAAGTGCTGGTGGCAGGGGATTTCTAACGCGCCCGGGCTGTCGGCAGAGCCAGCCAGAGCATCGCTTAGCGATGCTGCCGGCACCTCCGCCGCCTCCAGAGCCGGCTGCAGCCGGGGGAGCGGCAGCGGCGCATCCCCGCAAAGTGCAACTCCGGGCGTGCACCTGCATCCCCGGGGAGCATCGCAGCACCCCCAAACACTCCCGCACACAGCGCTGCATCGCAGACACAGAAGGGAAGCGCAGAAAAAGGTCCTTTCGGATGAGCTTAGTAAGCAGAACACAAGCCAATGCACTCGGCTTAAAATCACCCTCGGGAGACGGATGCCAGCTACTGCATGGGAAGCGCAAGGAAGCGGCGGCTCTGTTGGACTCTGACCGCGGCTGGCAAGATGTTGCCATTAGGAAACATTTCAAAGGGTCTCACCAGGCATAGCGGGCTTCGAATCTGAAATCGCCCCGTTATTAGAGCGGTGCTCGCAAGACGAGAGCGCATCGGGGCTATTCCTGAGCGCCCACCAGCCTCCACAAGGCTCGGGACATCCTCACGGATTCCACTTGGCACCGGGGGATTGAGGCAGAAAAATAAGCGGCTCTTGTTCCCGCAGCCAGCCTAGCCCGAAACCCAGCAGCCGCCCGGGCGCTCTGTAACACTGCAGCCACGCGTTCAGGCGCTTGTTGATGTTCAGAAACCCTTCAATTTCACGCGGCGTGGGAAAATAACGCTAAAAAACCCCAAACTTTCAGAGCATCACCCCCCAGCACGATCCGGGCCCGCTCGGTTGGGCTTATGGGCTTGTGAAAATAAAAGTTAGGGGCTGCAGCGGGCGCGGGCGGAGCGGGGCTCGGCGGGGAGCGCGGCGCGGCCGCGGGGGCTCCGCGGGGCTCGGAGCGGCTCCGCGCCGGGACGCGCCGCTGCCCCCGAAGTTTCTGCGGCGAGGCGCAGCGCGGGCGGTACTTGTGCGGTACCGCGGCGGCACCTGAGCGCCGGCTCAAAAAACAAATATAAACCACACAATTAAAAACTGCACAGCGGCCATCCGCTTTTCAAAAAAAAAAAATTAAATTAAATTAAATTAAATTTTAAAAAAGGAGGTGCGAAACGGCGGCAACTCCGCGCACCCACCACCACCACCCTCACTCCCCCAAGCCCGAAGTTGCCGCGGCGGGCGCGGAGGAGCCGCGGCGGGGGATGGCTCCGCGCCCGTTCCCACTTACCGCCGCCGAGCCCCAGCCGGGCAGGAGGAGCAGCAGCAGCAGCAGGCGTCGCCTCGGGCCGGCGCTCATGTCCGCGGCGGCGGAGCGGAGCGGAGGAGCGGAGGGAGCGGAGGGAGCGGAGGGAGCGGAGCCGGCCGGTCCCGCGGCCGCCCCGGGCTGCAGGTGAAGCGCCCGCCGCGCGCCGCCGCCGCGCCCCGCCCCGCGCGCGCGGGCACGCGCCGCTTAAAGCGACAGGCACCGCCCGCCGCGGGGGGAGCGCGGGTGAAGGTGGTGGTGGTGATGATGGTGGTGATGGTGGTGATGGTGGTGGGGGAAAGGGGTTCGGCGGCGCTATCGCTGTCTCTCCAGAGAAGAAACTTAACGCGTCCGAACCGTGGCGCGCTCCCGGGATGGAAGGGCGAAGCAATCAGGCAGCGCGCTCAGGGGTGATGGAGAGAGGTGGTGGGTTCACATCCAAGGTTGTGGTTTGATCCCCGCCGTTCGCTGAAGGGTTGGGTTTGAAGATCTTCTATGCTCCCTTCCAGCTCAGATTTGGTGATTCCCGGATCATCGTGTCCAGCCATCACCCAGCACCAGATCTAAACACCTCCAAAACACCTGCAGGGATGTGTTTCATTCCACCACCTCCCTGGGCAGCCCGTTCCAATGCCTGACTGCCATAACAGAGACATTTTTTATCTAAAGTATAATCTCAATCTCCTCTGTCTCAACCTAAGGTCATTTCCTCCAGCCCTCTTTACATGTGCCCACAAGGGAATAAGCCGTATATCCAGGGGAAAATTAACACAGCCTTGGAAACATACTTAGTGGGCAAAAAAACTAACACACCCAGGGAAAACTGACTGTATCCCATGAGGAAAAATAAGGAAAATATCTATGTTCAGGGGTTCATGAGTGTATCATGTGAGGAGAGCAGAGCCCAGGCTGTGAGGGAAAGGTGGCGTGAGGGAGTAATAGCAAATCTACAAAAAATTATGTACTGAGGAGGAAAAAACTGAGATATCCAGAGATTAAAAACTCAGGAGAGGGTAGAGAAATGGGTAGTGCCAGGATTGCCTCCTCAACTGTATCTGTGAACCAGCCTGAGCCTGGCCCTTCTTTTTTTAGAGGAAAATAGGCTTGTCAGGCCTAATCCACATCAGTAGCAGAGGAAGCTAACTCACAAAACTAGTAAAATTCTGCTGTAAAAATAAAGGCAGATCAACACAGGCTTAGAAAGTGAAACTTCAGTCACAGAGAACTGATCACAGTGGTTTCAAGCAGAATGTGGCTCCTGCTCTTCTCTTACAGCAGGACCCTGGCACCCAAACCCCATCCTTTCCTTCTCCAGCTCAACAAATAGGAATTCCCAGGCACGAGTGTTTTGTGCTTGTAAATCCAGCAGCAATTTGCAGAAATAGATGCATATTATCTGATGTACGTGCAAAATCAGACATTGCAGCTGAAAAATCCAGCCATTAAACCATTCTGTTGGGTTTGCACGTTTCTCAAGGAATGGGACACATAAATCCACTGGCTGTATCTTTGGCTATTGAGTAGATTTAATAGCATTGTGTTAACACCTAGAGACGTTAGCAAAGAACTGAGGCCTCATTGTATTGAGCTCTGTGGACAAGAATAATGAAAAGATTGTTCCAACCCCACCAATTTACAGTCTTAGTGGATTATGGGGTTTATTTTGTTTTTAAACAAGTATTTCTGAGTTTCTTATATAACATTAAATAAATGCCATCATTGTATTGAATGTCGATCCTTTTTTTATGAAGCACTTCTACAGAGGCATAAATAGTTGAGTGACACTGTCACAGCAAAAATAAATCCTAATATATATTTTAAAAATCCTTTTTTTTTTCCTTTTATCTTTATCCTCAGTTTCAAAGTTTGGAGCAGATTTTTCTAGGTTTAAGGGCAGTTGCTATTTAAATAGAACTACAAGTACTCTGGAGACTACTGAGGATATTTTGGATTTGGGGAACTACAGTGTGGATGCTTTTTTCCAAATACCTATGGCCAGTTATTCTGACTCTTGCTGGACTACAGCTGTTGCTGTGCAAGTGCTCGCTCTGCTTGATAACTTTGTTAATATGACAAGTTCTACAAGTATTATCAAAATAAGTCTGACACCACAACAGATTGTGAAGAAAAGGCAGAGCAGTAGTGAAAAAAAAAAAAAAAAAAAAAAAAAAGAATTCTTCAACATGTTTACAGTTGATTTCTAATCTGATGGCAAATTGATTTTTTTCCCAAAGTAGTTTGCCACCCTGCTTTTCTAAGCTGTGGTAACAAACTGTGTGCTCAAGGAATGAGCTGCAAATGGAGTTGAATTCTCAGTTGTATTTTCAGTAACAGTGGCCGGTGTGAAACAGCAGGTGCCTCCCAAACTGAGGTGTTTCCAGAAGGAGCAGATGAGAATCCAGACCCACGTTCAGACAGTGGAATTCTCTGGTTCATGTGTGTGGTTGCTTTCACTCAACCGTTTTCATTCAACTCTTGACACTCCAATTAATTTTTGAAGGAATTATAGTTTTTCTAACTATTAGCTATTATTTGAACTACTCCTTCTTTAGCAGCGCCTCACATGAAGTGCTTATAAAATGTCTTCATGTCTTCATTCAGATCTTTAAGGAAAACTAAAAATATGCCATTTACATTTTTGAACCTTCTGAATTTTTTCCTAAATTTTCAGATGGCAGGCCTGAGCTGGGCCTGAACATATGTTATTTGGGAGGGTTTGCTTCCCTTGGAGTCTGCTGGGAGACTGGTTAGGAATTGGTGTTGTGGCACAGAAAGGAAATAGGAAGCTCCATCACCTAACACAGGAATGCTGCAAGATGTGGGGCTGGCGGGATGAAGACACTTAGGCATGTAGACATGCACAGTAAATCAACTTGCTAAACACCTCAAGAGCAAAACTGCTGATCCTAGGAGGCAACTTGCTGTACTCACAACTCCCGGGAGAATAAAAGGCTCAGAGATGAGAGATCTCCAGAGCTGACTGTGCCAGGATAACGAGGAGCGTGGAGCTCACCAGGGATTTTCCCCTCCTTGATGCACACACGTAATTCCTGCTGACAGCACTGGGACTTGCACATCCACACCAAGGGGACAGCAGAACCCTCGGTGGAGGAGATGAGTATCGGATGTGAGCTGTGTGACCACGGAGAGGGAGCCAGGGAGAGGGAGGTGTGATCACTGAGGGACTGTACAACATACAATAAAATTGTCAAGCAGCCATCAAGTACGTGAAAGCATGGGAATTACAAATTAAATGGACAGGAGGTGAGAAAACAGAGCCTCAAGAGGCTTTTGTCTTCCTAGCTTAGGGCTGATATCTGAATTCCTTATCTGGGAAATATTCCCGCTGGCTTAACCCATTTAATTCTCTCACAAGTAAATATTTCCCTGAACTCGAGTAAATAGTTGTGGTCCAGATGCCAAGGATAAAAAAGTGCTTTCATTAAAAATTGTGATAAACAAGAAGAAATTAAATAAAATGTGCAGACCTTACTGTGGGTTTCTTCTGTATGATCTGGAGATTCTTCCTCTCAAAGGAGGAGAGAGCTGAGTGACCAGTGGTTTGGAGTCATTATTACTAATTTGGGTTTGTGTCAGAGTAGTAACAAAGGACACAACGGGAAATAATGATGATTCTAGTTTGACAGATAATGGCAAATTATGTGTTTGTGGCAGTAGCTCAAAAATGAGATGAATGAGCAATGCCTTCAGATTTAATATGCATTTGGGATCTTCTAAAGATGGGATGAGATTAAAATGAAGAGAGAAGTGAAATGTAAATCAGAACTATGGAGAAATTATTGATCAGGAAAAGACTTCTACCAGATCTTGATGGAAACCAACAGAAGAAGCAAAGGATACTCCTAAGTAGGAAGACCACAACCACAACCACAGAAGGAAAATAACTAATGGTAAAAGCTAGAGTTTGTACATTTAAGTAATTTTTTTAAGTAACAGCAACTGGAACTACATGAATAGTTGGGCACAGCTCAACATTCTGGATTGCCTATGATCTGGCTCCAGTACAAAATCTAAAGACAAAATGATGAATCACAGAGGAGAAAGTGACTCGAGGAAAGAATCCACAAGAAAAGGCTGCACTGAGCAGGAATGGGATGTGCTCCAGTCCAAGCTGATTCCACCCCTGCACGTGGTCCCTGGGTGCTGGAATGGTGGGGTGGCACAGATATCTCCCTGGTCAAACAGCTCTTTCAAAATCACATTTTCAGCCCTGCCAGGCTGGCTGCAGTGCTGAGGAATTTGAACCTTCCCTCTTTTAGGCTACCTACTCATCCGCACATTGTGGATCCAAGGGATTCTTCTTCCAGCTGCTCATGTGAATGGCGCTGAGGAAAACACAGCTTCAGAGGCCCTGAACAAACCCTTCCTGCTCTCTTAATTACACTGACCAAGGGAGGCCAGCTCAGGTGCAGTCTGACCTCCAATTATGAGGCACACTGTGGTCTCCTCACTGAGCTGTGCAGGCATTAGTGGCAGCATGCCAGCAATGGCTATATTAAAATCAATTTCAAACTCCCAGTTCCATGTCTCTTTCACCTTATAAGGTGAGGTAACACACCTTATACTAATTCAACTCTTTGTAAAATATTGTAAAAACAAAACTGATCTGTGCAAAACAATTAACAGTTCTATTCTCTTTTTTTTTGGTCATTTTTTTGTATTGTTGTAAAACCAAAGGAAAAATGAAAAAGCAGACCAGGAGGCTTAATAAATCTCCATCTTTGCAGTGGATTGTTGTTAAAGAAGGGGTATTAAAGAAAAAGAAAAAAAAAAGAAGGCAGAAAAGCAGAATTAGGTTTGTTCTCAGAGTATTAGGTTTGTTCTCAGAGTCACCAAGGAGAATAAACTGCAAGAGTTCTCTGACACAGCAGGCAGGCAGCTCCCAGGCTGCTCCATGAGGCAATGCTTGATATTCATGGAAACAATGAAATCTCACCAGATTTAGCACAAAAAGGAGATGAATAGCCAGTCTGTGATTTTACAAGCAGGAGGAAGGCCACAGACTCCCAGTCTCCCCAAAGCCTTCACAAACTTAAAACTGATTTTAAGACTCACCTCAGATGAGCACGTGTTTAAACAAGGTCGCACCATCACCTCAGGAACAGAGAGTTACCTGAAGGGTCATCACCGGCTTTACCTGGACCAGCAATGGAG